ATGGAGGACCACAGAGCCTAGGCCTACCCACCCTGAGGCTTGCAGGGAACCACAGGTTTCATCTTGGTTAAGCCCTTTCTTTCGGGTTTTGTGACTCTTGGGACTTAATCCTAACACATACACATTTTCAGAGATTTAGTCACTATCTTAAAGGCTCGGAGAAGTCCGGCAGCCTGTAAGTTCAACATTGCCCAAGCCTTATTGAATATCAAGCCTTTTTTCTGCACAGCACACAGCAATGTCTGGTAGCCTCCCTTTGGAAAATGCTGTGCTAACCCAACACCCGGAGCAAAACCAAACCCTGTTGCTGGAAAGTCAATTCTCCCTCGACCAAACCTAAAAGACGGAATAGAACCGCCCCACCAGGCTTCCAAGGTTATACATTTTTGAGTGAAAATTGCCACAGCTTTCTCTTGTGAAGCAGCTGGTGAGGTTGAACCATTAATCTTTCAACTTTGTATCAGAACATTTAACCACTGTGCCATCAGGGCACCTATATTCTGTTCAATAACTAGAAAAACTAGAAAACTATCTCTTCCCCTGAGACTAAGAGCTGCAGGGCCGGAGCACATTGTGGTCTTCTGTGTCAAGGAGTCTCTGTACATGGAACAATGTACATATGGGTATATGTTCCATGCAAGCGTGAGTACTGAAGAGTGAATATTAGCTTCCTCACTTGCCAGGTGACAAGGTTGAAGTTCAGAGGGCACTACTAACTTCTTAAAGGTGACAGGGCAGGCCGGAGGCAGAACTGATATTTGAAGTCAATGCTGGGATTCAACTCTGGGAGGTTCTGTCAACCCTGAAAATGTGGCACTCTGACAGGGAAGGGTCACAGTCAAATAAGCTCAACCTTGTCCTAGGTTATGGATCAAAACAGAAGTTCAGCCTTTGCCTTATCTGCTACTCCTTCTCAGGGACACCAATGGCCATGACATGGAGGGGACATTGGGCCACCCCGCCAAAAATGATCACTGAGTGAGCCTTACACTTGCACACAGGTATCCCTGAAGACCAGTCGGCGACGTTCCCCTTCCAGGCACAGGTGATGAGACCAGGGCCCCCCATCTGGTGGCCAGAGGGGCAGTGGAATAGAAGCACTGTCCCCAGAGAAGTGCCATTGCCACGTAGGACTTGGAAGGTCCCCTGTAGAGATGGCTTCAGTTGACTACAGGTGCCTAGAGAGTAAGAGAAAGACATGAGTGCCTGACTTGGAAGGTCCTTGGGGAGGAAGGTGGGGCAAGACTCCGCAGTCAGTTGTTGTCTTAAGAAAGGGAAGAGATGCCGTGACACAGCCATGGTCCTGATGCCCTTCATGGTGCGTGGGTAAGGAACTAGACTACAGGGCATGTTGGTTTTTTGGTTTTGTTTTCAGTTTTTAAAATTAATTAATTTATTTTAATAGTTTTATTGTCATATAATTTGCATATCATACAATAGTCACTGATATTAAGAAGAGTTGTACAAATATCAACACTTTCAATTGTGTTCAATTCCTCCCACAGGGAGGAAGAGAGGAAATTCCCAGAATTTTCATGAGAAAGCCAGGCCCACAAGGAGGGATCAGGCTATGACCTGACTGGCAGGCTAGAGTTCACCCCTTCACTCTTAAGATCCTCAAGTTGACACAAGATTGTGTAACTACCACAATGGTCATTATAGCTCTGGGGTTTACATTTTGATCTCCAACCTATCGAGTTCTTTTTGGTGCATAGGAGGAGGTTGGGTCCTGTTTCATTCTTCCACAGATGGAGACCTGATTTCGTCCAGCATCAATTGTTAAAGAGAATGCCCTTTTATCATTTAATTTTTTTTTTGGTTCTTTGTCAAAAACCAGTAGTCTGTTTGTGCATGCTTTCATTTCTGGGTTTCCCATTCTGTTCCATTGGTTTATGCACCTAACATTATACAAGTACCAGGTTGTTTTGACTACTGTGACTGTATTAATAGGTTTTCAAGTCAAGCCATGTAAAACCTTCTACTTTATTTATTTATTTATTTATTTATTTTAGTTCATTGCTTATCCTTGGCCTCTTTGCATCTCCATACGACTTTGGTAATTAGTGTTTCCTTTTCTTTAAAGAATGAAGTTGGAATTTGCATCAGAACTGTGTTGTGTTTCTCGATTGCTTTAGGTAGCATAGACATTTATATAATATTAAGCCTTCCTGCCCATAAACATAGGAAATTCTTCCATTTGTGTAGGTCTCTTGGTTTCTTGTAGTTTTTTTGTGCAGGGCTTTTGTTTCTGTGGTTAGGTTTATCCCTATATTTGTCATCTTTTGTGTGGCCATTGTAAATGGCACTGTTTTCTCGATGTCTTCTTTGAAGTTCTTTTGATGGTGTATAGAAATCCAATTGATTTCTGCTTGTTAATCTGTATCCTGCCACTTTACCACATCCCTCAATTGTTCCCAACAGTCTTCCTGTGGAGTCCTTGGGGAATATGTTGTTGTTGGGTGTCATTGAGTTGACTCCAACCAAGATTGACAGTATGCTCAACAGAACAAAACGCTTCATAGTCCTGCACCATCCTCACAATTGTTTCTATACCTGAGCCCATGGAGGCAGCCACTGTGTCAATCCATCCTGTAGTGGGTCTTCCTCTTTTTGACTGCCCTTTCACTTTACTAACCACGATGTCCTTCTCCAGGGACTGGTCTCTCCTGACAATATGTCCAAAGTGTGTAAGGAGAAGTCTTGCCTTGCTTGCCTCAAAGGAGCACTCTGGTCGTACTTCTTCAATGCAGATCTGTTTGTCCTTTTAGCAGTCCATGCTACTTTCAATATTCTTCTCAAACACCATGATTCAAACGCAGGGATTCTTTCTCTATAAAACCATATTATCTAAAAATAGTGAGAGCTCGCTTCACTTCCTCTTTGCCCAAATGTATTCCCTGGATGCCTTCTTATTGTCTAATCATCCTTCAAACACAAGTTGAATAAGAGTGGTGATAAAGGGCACCTTTGTCTGGTTCCCATTCAAAGGGGAAATGTTTCAGCTTTTCCCCATTGAGTGTGATATTGGCAGTTGGCTTTTCAGATATGGCCTTATTATGTTGAGGAGTTTTCCATCTATTCCTATTTTATTGAGTGCTTTTATTAGAAATGGGTGTTGAATACTGTCTAATGCTTTCTCTCCATCTATTCATATTATCATGTGGTTCTCACTGTCTTATTTATATGGTAGATTATGTTGATTGTTTTTGAATGTTGACCTATCATTGCATGCCTGGTATGAATGAATCCCATTTGGTCATGAAGAAGTATTTTTTTTGATATGCTGTTGGAGTCTCTTGGCCAGAATTTTGTTGAGAGTTTTTTAGGGATATTGGTCTTTGGTTTTCTGTTTTTGTGGGATCTTTGCCTGATATTGGTATTAAGATTTCGTAGAATAAGTTTGCACATTGAAGTCCCTTTTTATATTCTAGGCTGGTTATGTAGAATTGGTGACATGAGTCTTTTCAGGTTTTCTACATTGGTTTGCATCAAATTGGGTAGGTGGTGTATTTATAGATATTTGTTCATTTCTGCTATATTATTAAATTTGTTGGAGTATAGTCTTTTGCAGTACTGTTACTATTCTTTTTGTTTCATTTCGATCTGTTGAAATGACACCCCTTTCTCCAATGTTAGATAGTTGTATCTTCTCTCTCTCTTTTTTTTGTTTGTTAATTTTGCCAGCAGTTTTTCAGTTTTGTTAATCCATTTAAAAAGCCAACTTTTGTCTTGTTGATTTTTTCCATAGACTTTCTGTTTTCAAGTTCATTTATTTCCACTCTATTCTTTATGATTTTTTCCTCCTGTTCTTGGAAGGATAATGTTGATGACCTTCTAGTTTTAGAGATGTTGTGTTAAGGTGTTGATTTAGTATTTCACCCTTTTTTTCAAGTGTGTGTCAATTGAATTAAGTTGTTCTTGATTGCTTTTGCTGTGTTCAAAAGGTTCTGGTATGATGTGTTATTATTATCAATTGTTTCAAGAAATTTATCTCTTATTTGATCTATTTCCCAGCCATTTAAAAATACTATATTTTTCAGTTTCCATGTTCCCAATCTTTCTCTTGTTGATTTCCAGTTTTATAGCACTGTGACCTGATAAGATTGGTTATAGGATCTGTGTTTTCTTAATTTGTTGAGATTGCACTGTAGCCTAACATGTGATTAACTCTAGAGTATGTACTGTGTGTACTGGAGAAGAATGTATACTAATCTGTTGTTGGGTCTCTGTATATATCTAGGATAGTGGTTCTCAACCTTCCTAATGCCGCGACCCTTTAATACAGTTCCTCATGTTGTGGTGACCCCCAACCATAAAATTATTTCCGTTGCTACTTCATAACTAATTTTGCTACTGTTATGAATCGTAATGTAAATATCTGATATGCAGGATGTATTTTCATTTTACAAATCGAACATATTTAAAGCATAGTGATTCATCACAAAAACAACATGCAATTCTATATTGTGAAATATTTGTGTTGCTGTTCTCCCACTTTAAGTAACTTGACCTAGTTATCGAAATTGTTGATGCCAGGAAATGCAGGATATCCCTTATGGTAGAACTTCTTTGGTGGTTGTTGAAGTGATGTTCCCGTGCTTGTTATCTGACAGCCACATTCTTGCCCTCTTAACCACGTTGTGTTGTGGGAAATGCTCCACAGTGGCCAACACAGTTCTGTGGGGAGTAGCAGCCAGCCAGCCAGCGATGAGGATAAACCTTGGAAAGTGGCAGGGATTAATAGACAAACTCCAGATGCTCAGAAGACTGGTGTTGGTTGCAATCAAGTTGATGCTGACTTAGGGTGACCCCATCTGTGCAGAGTAGAACTTCCTTAGGGTGTTCAAGGTTGTGACATTTTGAAGCAAATGGCCAGGCCTCTCTCTTGATGTACCGCTGGCTAATTCAAACCTTTCAGCTAGTAGTGGAATATTTATCCATTTATACAAAGCAGAGACTTTATCTAAGATGATGAATCTCTTAGGTTGGGTTCTCTAGAGAAGCAAAACCAGTGACACATGGAGGTGTAGGTATATAGGAAGAGATTTATACCAAGAAATAGCTCACACAGTTGTAGAAGTGGGTAAGTCCAGTCCAGTTCAAGTCTGTGGGTTAGATGTAAGCTGAAGACTTCTGACTTGTGTAGCTGCAGGGGCTGACAAACAGAAAGCAGGAAGATGAAGCAGGAAGATTACAGCCTGGTGGATGTATTGCTGAATGAATCTGAGGTCAGCTGAATGGATCTAATGTTGGTAATCTGCTAGTGGCTCTTGGGATCAGAAATTGATAAACAAGATGCAGGCTACTGATTCAGCAGAAATGAGCTAGCTTCTGCACAGTGTCAATCTATACAAAGAGTAGGCCACATCCTAAAGTAAACTTCCCCTCAATTGTATCAAGGCTGTGACCAGCATCAATAACTGCATAGATGCTTCCCAGAAGATATCATATTGGAGTTGACTACACTGTTAGAACACATCATGGGAGACTCCTGGCCCACCCAAGTTCACATAAAACCTAACTATCACAATGAAGGTGTTAAAAAAGAAGCTAGGCAAGTGTTAGAAGAAAATGAAAACAAAAATTTGCAAAATAATTGTTATAACTATGGTTCCAAAGGCAGAAATCATTAACAAATAAATAAGGGCTATGGGGAAGAGATTGACAGTTTTGGATATGAAAAACAAAAACGTTTGTGTGTCTCTGTTTAACAAAGCAGTAGCAGAGGATGTGGGGAAGAACTGCACAATGGGACCAGCATCTTCCCCCAACCCCTCTTCCCCAGACATTCCAGAGAAACAGAAATCTATCCAGTGGCGATCCTTCCTTTGTTCACCTCGTGTTCAGTGCCAGCCCACAATCATGAAGGTGTGAAAACCAGCCCCTCATGCCTTTATCTCCCCTTATTTTAGACAACAAATGTTTCAAATTCCCATTCCAATTCTCCATCAAATCCTTACTTCGAGGGTGGTATGCAACATGGTATGTCTATGTAATATGATGGTTCTTGGCCCACTGCTGTGCTCTGTGAGTTGTAAAGTGTGCTCCTTGGTCTGAGCAGAAAAAACAGGGTGACTCAAACTGGTATAGTATCTTTTGTTCTAACCCCTTGATGGTATTTTTAACATGTGCCAGTGTTACTTGATATGCAAGAGCCATTCTGGAGTGTCTATCTGTG